TATATATTAGTTTAGTTGCTTTATTTTTTCCTAGTTGTTTTACAGTTATATATATATATTATTATACATATATTAATCTTAAGTAGTTGTAATATTTTTTCTGTTATTAATACTTGATCCGCGTTAAGTATAGTAATCATGGTGAGTTGTTACATACTTTGTGTATTTTTTTTTTAAAATAAAATAAAATATAAAAATAATATATGTTAAATAATAGTCGGTAATTTTTAGTTAGAATGTAAGTGATTCAAAGTAATTAGAAGAAAAATAGGAGAAGAAAATATATCCGTCAAAATTATGCTTATCATTGTATAGTATAGATAATATCATGTCATATAATTTTTTTTTTATTAAATATATATATATCTTTTATTATTAGAAAGTTGATGAAAAAAGTTTAAATTATTATCAAATTTTTCTTATGATAAATTTTCATTAACGTCTTATTTGGTTATGTGGAAGTGGAGAGAAAGAGAAAATAAGGAGATGAAAGTGTAAAGAATGTAATAAATGGATATTGTTTGGAAAGGAAGAAACCATATAAGTATGGTGATTTACTGGTGGAACCTTTGCCACACAACTTTCCCTCTCAAAAGAGAAAGTGTGCCGAAGTTATGAAAAAAATAGCTGAATACAAAAATATGATTTTTTTTAATGAAAGACAATGTAAAGTCTAAGTAAAAATATAATAACTAAATCATTAACTATTAAAAAAAACTCAAAAAAATGTGTGGATCTATTTCAGTACCGTTTTCAATTCCCATAAAAAAATATAATTATCTTATCATAAAAATGATATTTAACTACTAATATCTATATTAAATTTTTAATATACCAAGTACATAGGTTCATAAGTCAAAAGATTAAAAAAAAAGTGTAATGTTTTTTTTTATTAATACAGTTATTTTTATTTTTACCTCTTAATTTATTATATTTTACTTTATATATTATTTATGCACTGTGTATAAAAAGAAACCTTATTTACATAACTATTAAATTTAAGAGGAGATTATTGCAACAAAAGATTAACCAATAGGTAAGTGCATGTTTGACATTTTAAAATAAATCATGTCGTTTTAAAACATCAGTCGAAATCTTAAAACTTGTCCATCAAAATGCCTGCTAAATTAATTTGACAATTAATTAATATCCGTTATATAACTTTTGTAAATCACTTTCAAGTTCAATTAAAATGTACCGAGAGTTATTAACACTTTTATACAAATTATCATATATATGATAAAATTATATAATTATTTTACGTGGTAGGATATTCAAGATTTTACGTTTATATTCTATAATCCTCATTGTAATTTCAATAAATAAATAAAAGTATATAATAAAATTAACTTTTTTAGTAATTACTTTACATTTAAGAAGAATTCTATGTAGTTTAGCTTGAAATTTTAAATTCATATACTTTTTATGTACAATCAACGAACATATTAACAAAAGTGAAAGAAGAATAATTCCTAAAACCAAAATGAAAAGGTTGACATGTAAAAAGAAGGAAAAGAATATATACGTTGTTGTTGTTGTTGATGATGTTGTTGGTTGTGGCGTGTCAACTGATTATTGTTCGTTAACTCAGGCAAAGGTAGCCGTTTTCTTTAGCTTCTATTTCACTCTCTTTCTCAAACGGCCAAAATTAATGAAAGATGCTTATTCATTATACCCCATTGCATTTCATTACAATCTACCTTTTTTTCTTTCTTTTCTCTCTCTCTCTCCACTTACATATAGGTTCCTTTCATTGTACTTTTCAGAGAGGTACATATATAGAAACACTTTTTTGAGAAGCATTGTTGTCATCATCATCATTCACAAACACACAGAATGAGTTCTTCTTCTGGTCAGAGCAGTGGCTATGATCTCTCCTTCAAGATCTTGTTGATCGGTGATTCTGCTGTGGGAAAAAGTAGCCTCCTTGTTAGTTTCATCTCCAATTCTTCTGAAGATCTTTCCCCCACAATTGGTAATTCTAAATGTTGATGCCTCCAAAAAACTACTCTTTCACATGATTGCTCCTACAAAATTTTTTGTACTAAACCATGAAAAGAATACCATTTTTTTTTGTTTTTTTTTTTATTTAAAAAAAAAACATGAAAATTGTGAATTTCTCATGTGGGTTTCAATTGTGCTGCTGTGGACCACTTTATGAACGTTTTGAGAAGCCCTTTTGGAGTTAGAGTTCTTCTATGTACTATGTTCTTCTTTGCTGCTATGATTGAGTTTGAATCAGTGGTCCTCAGTTATTGAGTTTGCTTAATATTTTGGTTATCGGATATCATTTTGTTCAAAGTAACTGTTCTATTGTTTTGTTGCTTCTACCCCTTTGGAATTGACCTTGAATGTTTTAATTGGGGCTATTTGTTATTATCAGATATTACTTTTGATGTGATATGATGCTATTTGTGTTTATCTCTGTTGTTCTATGTGATGTAGGAGTTGATTTTAAGATCAAGCAGCTGACAGTAGGTGGGAAGAGATTGAAACTAACTATTTGGGACACTGGTAATGGAGGCTCAAATCTTTGGCTTCTAGTTCATGAATTGGACCATTTTTAAGTTTCTGGCATCGTGTGAATTAGATGCAAATAAATATAATGAAATTTCCTTAAAAAGTTTAGGGTCTTTCAATTGAATCACTTGTCCTTTGACCTAAATGGCTGATTGAAGTGGTATATTGATGTCTAATAACATTACATCTATATTGCAGCTGGGCAAGAAAGATTCAGAACTCTAACTAGTTCTTACTATAGAGGAGCGCAAGGAATCATTCTTGGTATGCTAAAATGATTTATGTACACTTTTTTTCCTGCATTAGAGGCCTCTCTTCAGTAGTTGCAACTTGGATTGAACTCTATTTTAACTCTTTAATCTCATAGAGTAAATGGGTCCATCTGATAAAATATGAACTCTTCACTTGGGGAATGTGATAAGCATTTGCAAGGAATTATAACACTTGTTATGAACCATGTGTTAAAGCAGTTTCCATTGTTACACAGGATTTAAATTTGCAACAATGTTAACAAGGGGACATCCTCAAGTGTTGCTTCATATTTTTTAACAATTATTTTATTTTTACTTTTGCACCTCTGTCCTAAAATTTTGCCATAGATTAATTTGGTTCAATCAAAAGGTAAGTAAAGTCTGGTAAAAAGTTATTTCTATAAAGATCGAACTCAAACACTATTTGAACAATTCTACCTTAAGTTCAACATATTAATCACTAATGCTCAACTCTCTGATATTTTGATAGTTATTGTTTCTGTCTTTTATTTCCTTTTTATAGCATGAAGAATTTGCAAGCATAGTTTTCTTGGATCTATGATGACAGTTAGTGCATGCTTTTTAATCAATGCTAGCTAACATTATTTTAAATCCAAGGCTTATACTTATAGAATTATTTTATTTTATTTAGTTTATGATGTAACGAGAAGAGACACCTTTACAAACTTATCAGAAGTGTGGTCTAAAGAAGTGGAACTCTATTCAACCAATCAGGATTGCGTGAAGATGCTGGTTGGAAATAAAGTTGACAGAGTAAGTTGTGTTTTAGTCTTGTTGTGCATCAATATATGACTCGAGGAAATGAATCAATAACTACAGTGAAATTTTTCCTCAATGAAATGTTTGAAAACTAAATTATGAAACACAATGAAATGTGTCTCTGAGCTTGTCTCACTCTTCATTAAGGTAATGAAACAATATTCAAGTTCTATCTTCCATATGTCTCTCTTCTCTGTTATGAGTTAACACTGTTATAGAGAATTCATGACTTAAAGTGAACTAACATGAACTCTATCGTATTTTCCAGTTTTTGTCTTGAATCTTGATGTATTCTCTTGAATAATTTCTTTAACATTTTATTAGGATTCTGAAAGGGTTGTGAGCAAAGAAGAGGGTTTAGCACTTGCCGAAGAGTTGGGATGTTTGTTTTTTGAATGTAGTGCCAAAACAAGAGAAAATGTGGAGCGATGCTTCCAGGAACTTTCACTAAAGGTACGGTTTTAGAAGCATACTATTTATGAATTGACGTTTGTTCCATTCCATGCACAAAAAACAATTTTCCAATGAACTTGTGATAGGGGAACACTGAGTACAGTAACCTAAGCATAAAACAAAATTGCATAATAAAGATAATAGAAATTGGTGCTTTTGTTATCATGTCAAATTGCTGTGGATTGCTTTTCCTTTCCTATAGTGACAAATATGGCACCATTTCACAGATAATGGAAGTTCCTAGTCTTTTGGAAGAAGGATCTACAGTAAAAAGGGGTATTTTGAAGCAAAAACAGGAACCCCAAACATCCGAATTTGGTGGTTGTTGCTCTTAATTGAAGCAATGTGAACATTGAGTCATAACTAGCACATCTTGGTGTTGCCCTTCGATATCCCTGTATATGTAAGCTTCTTCAGCAGTTCCTAATTGGTGTCTTTTCTTTGCTTAATTACTTGTACCAATACTAATGGGCAATTGGCAACAATAGTGCCTATTAGCTACTGTATATTTCTGTCTATTCTGTTATTGTTTCTGAGCTATAATTTATCCAAATCACTTCAGCTTGCGCAACTACGAAATATATAATTTATATAATATATTACTCCCTAGTCAATCCTGATATTGTGCAATTGTTGCATCAAACTTGTGATATTATTTAGAAATTTTCATTTTTAATCAATATGAGGTTTAGATTTTTTTTATAGAGATAAACAGACACAAATATCTTGACATAAGATTTTTACGTATATATCCTTTTACATGATCTATCATGTGGAATTGTTTTATTAGTCTAAATATTGTCAATCAAGAGTCTTTGACCCCAATTTTTACTAGCATGTCCTGTCTTTGCGTGTGACAATGCAAGGTAAGACGTGCATGTGAACCATTATGTAGTATGTATCTAGAATGCTTCGTAACATAATACCTTTTACATACTAGTTCAAACTTTTAATATTTACTTTATCTTTCTTCTCTTTCCTTTATCCCTTCTTCCTTTTCACAAGTCTCTGTAAATGACAAATTGCTTGTATTCCTCCTAACACACAAATAAGTAAAAACTTCTCTCTTTCACAATGTTAAACTTTATCGGTGGGTTTTTCATTTTACATGAAACAGGTAAAGTAATTAAAGCAGATTGGATTTTGTTTTTCTTTATTTGTTGTTCGTCTTACAACGTAGTGTATATGAAGCTCATTCCGTATAACTTGGCCCAATATTTAGTGATTACTTTCATACCCAAAAAAAAAAAAAAAGAAGATATTTTATCTCTTTTCCTTCCCTAAATAGTTAAAAGATTTTTTCTTTTTTTTGCTTCGAATTTTGTGAGTTTGCCACGTGTAAAGAGATGCTTTTTGTGATAGTATAGATAGATAACAGCAAGAATTAAAAACTAAATTGTGAAATTTACAAGATATAAAATAACCAAGGGTCAGATAAAAATAAGTGGGGATAATATTACAATTTATAACATAAAACGATCCTTATATGTTAGATCCAAATTTCACTTAATTTGGTTTATAAATTTTTATTAGTTTATTCCTTAGTATATTATAGAACGTTAAAAATATATATTTATTTTTTCTTCAGTCAATCTTCACCAATCAATAATTTGTTAATTTTCCTTTTTTTTTTCTTTTTCTTTTGGGTCAAAATTTCCATTGTTTCGGATAGCAAGTCGTTTGGATGGTGGGCAGGTGCTTTTTAGAAATAGCATGTTCGGCGTAAAGCCCAACTCACGTTTGCGGTGAAAAGAATCCATCCAAACAACTAATCGTTCGTTTGGATTTTTTTTTAATTAATTACGTTAAGAGTAAAATTAATTTAAAATATATATATTTAAAAATTAAGTGTAAATTCATAAATTATTTATTAACAATAACAATGCCAACTTAGCTTTTTAAACCCCAAGCGTGTGGTTCAGCGGTAGGGATTGATCCACGCTTAAACAAGAACCTTGGGCCAGTTATCCCACCCTTTGAGGTGCCTCCAACGAGGAGATTAGTCACTACTGTCGGCCCTGGATACTCCAGGGACGAACCAAAAAAAAAACTTAGCTTTTTAACACCATACTGTCTGAATCTGTGAAATCAGAAATTTAAAAAAAAAAAATTACAATAATTTTTTACGTTAGTTATGAAAAAGAAATAGAAACTTTTATTTACTTGAGTTGATAAGAAATAAGTATAATATTTTTTTTGGTACATTTAAATAATAAATGATGGATAAAAGGTAGAAAAAAATGAGCGAATAATTATATATATATATATATATATATTAAGAAATAAGTATGATATATGATTATCATTTTACGCCTACAAAGCATACGTGGTTAAAGTTATTTTTAACCTGTTAACAAATCTGTTATTATTTAAAATTACTTTTAATATGTAAAATCAATCAATTTGGATGAACATTATTAAAATTATTTTTATTCAAAATTAATTTTGAATTGATGCAATAATTAATTATATATTTTTATTCTAAAATCATATGTTAGTACAATTTTTATCCAACACAATTTACTTAAAATTGATTGAACTTGAAATCAATTATAAACCCATAATTAATTCATTGACGTTAAATCAAATATGAGATTTATCTAAAATCATACTTAACATTTCAACATAACTTTAAATTATCTAACATTAATCAAAGACACTATCAATGTTAAAAGAAAAGGATAGTTTTTTGTTCAAGCCCTCCTTAATACCAAAAATAAAGGATACTTTTAGCATTTCAAGCTTTTTTCTACACCCACTCCTATTTTCACACATGCTAAAACAGAATATAAATGACGTAAACCATAATGTCAATATTCTCTTCCACTCATACCCAGATTTCTTTAATCGTCCAAACGAGAAGAAAATATTATTTTTACTCATTCACATTGCACATCCTCCCCTTTTTTCTACAGAAACAATGCGTAAGTGAGTAAAACATGAACCAACCAGATAATTAACTTCTTAAAAGCAATTTTACTTTATAATTCAAACGAAATCAATTATTGTCCAAATCAAATAAAAAAAATCGTGAATCTTTTCAACTTCAATTCTTCCTAAATCAATTTTTGTAATACCAAATCTTTCTAAATCAACTGAATTCAGTGGGTCACAAACTGAATAATGGATACAAGTTAGTAGTTACACGTTTTTCAAGCGTTTTCTAAGTTTCAAGACTAAGGAGTACATAAGGAAAACTCGTACTTATTTCTTTAATTTTAAAAAATTAGCGAACCACCAGATTGTATACTAATCAAGCTTAATTCAACATAATAACAATTAAACGATAGTTAACTTAAGAGTATGGAAATTTAAGGATAATTAAAGGACAAGCAGCAAATTTATGCTTAAGCAACCGAATAAACAAGAAGTATAACTATCCAGTCATAGTTCACTGACACATTGAAGAGTAAATATATTCCAAATAAGCAAGCTAATGAAAGCAAACAAGAATGTCCACTGTGATCCGGGAATCGTCATTTTTATCTCTCCAAAGTTGAAAACCCCTAAGCTGTTTCTCTAATCAATAATTATGATTTTTGAACTTTCAAATACGAGTATAATGTACGTAATACAGATTTTATGGTCCAAAAAGTGTAGCATCTCCGTCAAAATGAAACTAAATATTTATACTGATCAATGCGCTAATGCTATTAGCATGCCATGGCAGTAGCGGCAGCTTCAAGCAGCCTCCTAGCATCTGTGTCCTGTTCAGGCAAATCTGCCGGTGTCTGCCAGAAATTATTTTAGAAATTGATGACTTGAAATGATTAAATCATAATGAACTGTTTCAGTTGAGAATACATTTTCTGCTTCCACTAATAATTATAAAATTGTCAATTTAGTTTTCCCTTTTCCCCCCATGTTTTTGAAGATTTATAGAAAAATAGTGAAAACAATAAAATGTTGTTTTGATTATTTCATATACAACTCTTTGAAAATAGAAACAAAATGAAAACAGATAATTTTTTATAGTCATTCAAAAATGCCGTAAATTCCTTTAAGAACTTACCTTTCCGTATAAGTTTGCCTTTCTGAAAGATGCTCCATTAGACAGCAACAACCTAATTACATCAACATGCTCACCTCTTGCAGCATGATGGAGAGGCTACAAGGAAATAATCACAATACAATGATGAAGAACAAAATCAGGAGTAATTCATCAAACAGAAAGACAGATAGAAATAGGATGCTCGATTGACATTGGCATCAGAAATGGGAACTCAAAATTTTCAAAGTATAAATAAATACTCACAGTATCACCCTCAGAATCAACCGATTCTAACATTCTTTTTATATGTTCTGCACCATTAGCTCTGTTAAGTAGCAGTTGCACTATCTCTGTATATCCTGATATGGCCATTTAAAGCAAAGTAACATTGAAATTCTTAACACCTTGTTATAAAAAAAAAAATCAGTTCAACTTATAGAACATATTTCAAAGTCAAACTACCTCCAGCACAAGCATCGTGCAAAGGAATTGCACCATCTTCATCCTTAGCCTCAATGTTTGCTCCTCTTTCTAGTAGCAGCTGCAGTTTATCAAAGAAGATCAACAATTCATGCAATGTTGTATAAGAGTATACAAATTTAACAATACGCGAAGATAATAAACCTGGACGCATGACAAATGGCCATATAAACATGTCAAATGAAGAGCAGTATCCCCATCCTCCACTGGCTCATCAATACTACCAGTCAAGTTATCTGAAGTCATGCAGCATCAGGTAAGCATCAACAAAAAGGACAAATAGTAGTTATGCTAATGAGGATGTGTTTAGATATCAAACAAGAGTTTAATTTTCATGCGACGACTGTATAATTTAACCCTGTTATCTAATCAGACACGAACAAAAAAATTACTGTAAGTATAAATTTTAAGATAGTTATTCAAAATGTCAACAAACTTATCATCCAGAGCAGACATTTGTGGATTAGTGATTGAATAACGGCGTAAAAACATTTACGGTCTGTGCATTTTCCAAAATCAAATCATAGCAGTCACTGTTAATAATTTTTAATCTTTTGCCACAAATTATGTCGATGTTCAACAAATTGAAATGTTTGCCTCTAATGTACCAAGACAAAGGACCACAACATATTCAAAAGCCATGAATATGTAATATTTTAATCTGAGACACTCAAAGTCTTTTGTTACAATTTGCCAGAGCGTGACAAATATAATCCTTACGAGTAGTCGTGAGTCTGCATGAATCAATTTTCTAAGACGAGACATAGAAATCCTTATTGGCGAGTTTGCTAGGGTTTAAGTTTGAAGAAGTAATAGTTAGGGTATAACACGAGACATGTATATGGTTATCGTGATGAATGAGAGAGCGATAGAAGATATAGAGAGAGAGTGAGAGAACCGAGAGCGAGGCGGAGGGCGTGGAGGTCGCCGAGCTGAGCGGCGGCGGAGAGGTCGCGGAGATGAGGAGGAGTGGGGGTGTCGTCTTGAATGAAGGGTGGTTCTTCGAAGAGGGCGTTGTCGTCTAAGTCCTCTTCGTCGTCGTTCATGCCGTTGCGCCTCCCTGGAACTGCCATTGATCTTGATCCGTACTTTTCCTCTCCACAAGCGATTTTTGGGGCTGAAAAAGAGTGTGCGCCACCTCCACTGCGCTCCTGTCACATGTATTTTCTTTACGTCTCCACCATTAAATGTGTTTTTACGATTTATTTTTTATTTAATACTAATGAAATTTTATTTTATCTAAGTAAAATTTATAATGTATAAATTATAAATTATATTGTAATTAAAATTTGATATAGATAGGTATTATCCATTATATAATCATATTTTAAATTTTTTATAAACATTTTTCTTCTTCTCTTAGACTCTTAAGAATATTAGAATGAGATTCTTGCTCTTCAAAACATTTCAAAGTGTTGAGACAAAGAATCGATGTGTATCGGTGTGGAGTAAACGAGATAACTTTCTTCTTCCCTCTTCCTTCTTCCTCTTCCTTTCCTCCTTTTTGGATCAACCCGTATTCATGGTAAAAGAAGTTAGAGTTTGTTTGTTGGTAGATTATGACATTCTTGTAGCTAAATTATTAATTAAATGCTTGCTAGTATGATGAAATTAGATTGGGTGTTGAAGATTTGAAAAAATTGGGTGTTCTTGGCGAAGGAAGAGGGAATCCTTAATCTGATTGCAATTAGGTGATTGCATGTGGCTTTTTGTGCGATTTTTGAATTGAAGGATGATAGATGTTAAATTTTGAGTTGCATGTCTAAAAATTGTAGTAGATGAGAGGATCTGAAGTTGTATTTGGTTCTTGAAGTTGTTGTGTTTAGTCATGAACATATAGATTTTTGGATTTGCTCGCTCAAAGCCCCTATGGTAGGGTCCTCAAAGCAAATGGATGTGACCAACTTAGGGGTAGTCTTTGGTTTGGCTCACTCATAGTAAATTGTGATCATTTAGAGCGAGTTTTGGTGGTTCAGATCGAGGACTCACTCACTCAGAACGATATGCTATGTATGATTGATATACTATGCTTGGAGGAGTTGGTAAGCATTGGTATGTTGTACTTGAGTTACATGTTGAGCATTGGTATACTATTTTTAGTTGAGGTATTAAGTATTGGTATGTTATACATGATTTGTGTGATTTGATCTCTATATGCATTGATATGGGGTAATGTAATGTATATAGAAGATATATGTTGAAGTGTTGATGCTAAGAATGTTTCAAACATTAAAACATATTGATTGACTTAAGAATAAAAGAAAATATGTTGTTTAGAAAGTTGAAAATCCCACTAAGGGATCTTGTTGTGGTGCTCTAGGAGGGCAATAGTTGAAAATCCTTATTAAGTAGGTGTAAAACACTTGGAGTAGATTTTGTTGAGTCTCCTCTAGGCCTTTAATCAATATGGAGTAAAGTATAAAGTTGAGGGCTATAACCCTCAACTGATTACTGGAAAAGTTGTGTGGTTCTTTGAGGATTGTTAGTGGGCTAACTCCATATGTGACTTAGTAAAGTAAACCAAGGTCATGGTACACCTATATCTAGCTATATTGGTCTTAGTGGTGGAATCGAACTTTCCTAGTATAAGTGGTGACACCCAAAAAATTAGGAGGGGAGATTGGTATTCCATTTTAGCTATGGATCCAACAGGCACATATGGCGTGAAATTGATCAGGATTGATTCGAAAGGGTCAAGCCACTTAGATTGGTCAAGTGTTATCGAAGAATTTCGTAAATGAATGCTAGATTACACATTATTTGTGGTGTATGCATATGATGTGTTACAAGTTGATATTGTTCATATGCATGGTGTGGATATTTTGAGGTGTGGTGTGTTTATGGTGAATGTTTGATTGACTTTGGTGTTTAGTTTCAAACATGTTGGTGATTTGTTGATTGTTGTATGATGTGAATCATGAGTTGTTGATCCTAAACCCTAAATCCTAAAAATATACACACATGTATTTTGTATAGCTATGAGTGTAAACCAACTAACTATACAATATATATATATATATATATATATATATATATATATATATAAGGGATCAAATTACACTGTTATAACTTTAAACGATTAAACCATTCAATAACTACTCAAAATTCACCATTAGATTGGAACTTCATTTCACTTAAATTATACATACAAAATTTTATATTAAT